GCATTGAAAAAATCACGACGTCGGATCTCTGGGGAGGGCGCTCGTGGAGCAGACTGGAGCAGGCCTGCAGAGAGGCCCCCGAGAAACGCTGGGGGGCCACCTCCCCGGGAGGGGCCCGCGCGGCCCGAGGGGGGGCCTGCGCCAGCCCCGAGGGGCCCCTGGACGGGGCGAAGCCAGGACGAGGACAGATTCGGGTGAGGGCAGGTCGCGAATCGTTGAGATCCGGCGGCTGTGGAGGATGTCTCCGGCGCCACGGTCTCCTCAGAGGCCTTCTGGAACGCTCTGGCACGGATTGATCCTCGTCCTGGCCCCGCCCGACTGGAGGCCCCTGGGGTGCCGCTGCACTTCCTCCGACCTCCCCTCTGGCGGGCCTCTCACGCCTCGAGCGTCGCGCGCCCGTCGCCGTCTGCCGAGCTCACGTTCTGGCGTGGAGGGCCGAAGGCGGCATCCGACATCGCCGCTTTGCCACAAACATCGCCGCGCATCGGCTTCCTCCACAAAGCCACACGGGGCAAGCTGCGGCAGCGGGGTGAGCGAGACGATGCGATCTGCGCCGACGCCAGCTCACGCCGAGCGGACGCAGCGCCCGATTGCGCGAAGAGCTGGCCTGGCTGCTGCCGTCGCTCCGCGTGTCCTCGGTTGGGTTTCTTGCAGCGCCAGCCCCTTCCCTGCGGAATACGGGGCACGCGGAGCGGCACGATACCTTTGCCCAGCGACCCTCAGTCCCTTCCTCCCTCCTCGTTCTCCTCCATCCCTCCAAGAGGAGGTGGAGAGAGGAGGGGTAAGGGGGGAGTGAAGGGGGAGCGAGGGGAGGGAGTAGAGGAGGAGGAGGAGGAGGAGGAGGAGGAGGAGGAGGAGGAGGAGGAGGAGTAAAGGAGGAGGAGGAGGAGTAAATGAGGATGAGGAGGAGGAGGAGGAGGAGTAAAGGAGGAGGAGGAGGAGGAGGAGGAGGAGAGCTGTTGCCCGACTCGGGGGCGTGACCCCCCCCGCCTGGCCCTCGAGCGGGCGACTGCCAGGCGCGGCGCCTGGCCGCGCCGTGCCCGCGCAAGGAGCCGGCCGCGGCGCCCGCGGCAGAGCCTGCGCCAAGGACCCCCACGTGTGCTACGAGAGACACCGCACGAATTGCGAGACTGCGGGTCCGGATGGGCCTAGGCCTCCGAACGCGGTTCACCAGAGCGCCAGGGCATACCGGAGGCTCGCCTACGCCGCGCGCAAAGGCAACAGCATGGCCAGGGATGTGGCCACGATCCTGACTGGCAGCCCTGCTCATCACCACCGGCATCAAGAACAATGTAGGTACACCAACGTCGTTGACGCGTGCACCAGCACCAACACCCAGACGGACACCTTCAAGCTCAACCCGGAGGCTACTGTGTTCGCCCAGCTTGCCCGCCTGGCTGCTGGCAGCCAGAAGGCGTGAATGGAGCCTACGAGACCCATCCCAATGCCAACGACGACTACGGCGACGACGGGGTTCTCCCCCTGCCTCCCATCCAGCAGGAGGAGGAGGAGGAGGAGGAGGAGGAGGAGGAGGAGGAGGAGGAGGAGGAGGAGGACGAGGAGGACGAGGACGAGGACGAGGAGGAGGAGGAGGAGGACGTGTACGCCTACCACCCACACCCCCACAACTCCTTGCCCCACGGTCTCCACGACGGACACCACGCCCCCACAGCCACACCCCGAGTGGCCGCATGCCCTGCGAGGGAGCCTGTGGGGGGCATACCGCCTGCCCCACGGCGGGCTCAGCACCGAGGGGCCGCATGCCCTGAGAAGGAGTCCGCCGGGGGGCACGCCCGAGGAAGCGGCCACAGGGGCAGCCGAAGCCACCCTCTGGAGCCCCACACCTGACCCCCCCGACTGCCCCACGACCCGAACGCCCCCTCGACTACCCCGCGGCCCCCGCGACAGACCCCGCGATCCCCCAGTCGAGCCCCGAATGGCCGCATGCCCTGCGAGGGAGCCCGTCGGGGGCTTACCCGGGGAAGCGGCCGTAGGGGCTGCTGGACAGCCCACAGCGGGCGCCACCACACCCCGCGGCCGGCTCGACATCCCGAGTGGCCCCACGCCCTGAGAGGGAGCCCGCGGGGGGGCATACCCGGGGAAGCGGTCGCAGGGACAGCCGAAGCCACCCTCCGGAGCCCCGCACCTGACCCCCTCGACCGCCCCACGACCCGAACGCCCCCTCGATCATCCCACGCCCCCCCAGCCACGCCCCGGGTGGCCGCATGACCTGCAGGGGAGCCCTTCGGGAGCATACCCCGAGCAGCGGCCATAGGGGGCCGCCAACATGGCGAAGGCTGGCGCCGCCTGCCCCGCGGCGGGCTCGGCACCCCAAGTGGCCGCATGCCCTGCGAGGGAGCCCGCGGGAGGGCATGCCCGGAGAAGCGGCCATCGGGACTGCCAACGACGCCCCTTGTGATGAGCTTGTTTTCCACCACCACCACCACCACCACCACCACCATAAGTTGGAGGGGGAAGGAGGAGGGCGAGGAGGAGGAGGAGGAGGAGGAGGAGGAGGACGAAGAGGAGGAGGAGGAGGAGGAGGAGGAGGAGGAGGAGGAGGAGGAGGAGGAGGACCCCCCCACCTTATGGTGGTGGTGGTGGAAAACAGGCTCATCACCTTGGGATCCCCCACCCGACCCACACAACGGCCCAGCGCCCCCCCACTCGACCCCAACGCTCCTGCGACCCCGAACCCTTACGACGGCCTCGGCGCGACGACCCCCGCGACGGCCCCTCGCCCCCGCCCCGACGACGGGCCCCGCGACGAAGCCCGCGACGGCCGCCCTGCTTCCATCACGGGCTGCTGGTCGAATGAAAAGACAACCGAGCCGAAGGCCCTTCGCCCCGCGACCCCGCGACGGCCCCCCACGACTCCCTCTACGACGTCCTCTGGGCGAGGGCCTCGGCGACGGCTGCCCCCGCGACAAAAGCCCGCGACGACCCCCGCGACGGCGACGGCCAGGGCGGGCGCGAAGACGGCTGCGGCTACTGCAACACCCCCCACGCCTGCCCCCGCGACGGCCCCGCGGACGGCCCGCGCTACAGTCTCGCGGGCTGCCCCCACGAGCACGGCGACGAGGACAGCTGCGCCTCGTCAAGGGAACGAGCCCCGAGGACGACGAGCGCACCACCTCGGACGACTCCGACACGCCCAACCCACTCCTCGCCGCCTGGCGACGGAGGCGGCGGCAACCCCACAGGAGGGCACCCCCCCACCCGCCCTCGTCCTCGGGCCGCACGGCCCACGGCTCCCCGAGGCGAGGATGAGGCCGCCCGCACACCAGCAGCGGGCCCCCGGGCGCCACAGGGCTGCGCGGCATGCCCGGCATGCGCCCTCACGCCCACCCCGACAGATATGGAAGAAGGCACATGCGACGACAGGGCCAACATAACGTCACACACACACACACACACTCGCACACACACACACACACACACACACACACACACACACACACACACACACACACACACACACACACACACACACACACACACACACACACACACGTTCTACGCACAGCAGTCGGGGTCACCAGCTGCTACCCACCCATTCCCTTTCTCGGCACGATCCTATCACCGACACCTACGCACTCACCGCACGACGGAAGCAGCACAGCTGGCGGTACGGGACTCCACCTCCTCTAGGGCAGCAGCATACGGCGTGTACATTAGTGGCGACTGCGATCAGTGTGGGTCCCTACGGAGCTTTCTCACCCACTTCAGACACCACTGGCACAGGCAGCACAGTACGGCGAGAACATCAGTGGCAACTGCGATCACTCTCAGGCGATTGCAAGTGAGTGACGTGTTACAGGCCCCCATCAACCTCCAACCTTCCCCGCCTTCTGGCTTCTGGCTCACCTTCCTGCAGCCCCATCTCCCCCCGCGGGGGAGAGCACCAGTCGTGGGGGATGGTGGCCGCTTTGGAGAGCTTCCCGTGTGCAGGGGATGAGGCCTTTCTGCCATAAACTTCAGCGAGCGTGGCCGGCGCCGCCGCCACGTTACCAGCAAGCGGCACCCCACAGAGGGCACCGCGGAATAACCTCCGCACTGCCACCTTCGCCGCTCGCACTTCCCGGCCACGCCGCCTGCCACCTCTACGCCGCCACGCCCCCGGTGTCGACTCTGCGCACCTCCGCAGGCTGCCTACGCCTCCCTCCGCCGACTGCCTCCACCCTCCGCCCCCCCCCCCCCTCCATCCTCTGCACGGGCGGGCACCCCTGCGGGGGAGCACCCGGGGCGCCCACCCAGGGCGGTGGCCCAAGCGGGCCACGCGACCCCTATAGGAGGGAGGACCCAACAGAGGCCATCGGGCCCCCGCTCGCCACGCGCCGCCCCCGCTGCGCTGCCGCCCGAGTCCTACTCCTTCCCCTTTCTCCCGAGGTTATCCAAAGTATGATGCCTCTCCTTTCTCGGGGGCGGCCAAGAGTGGGGCGTCCAAGACGGGGGGGTGCAAGTCATGGCCGGCGGCATGTGCACGGCCCAGGGGGGGGCCAGGGACGTCGTGAAATAAGAAGAGGCGCCATGACATCTGGGGAAATATCATGGCCCACGCCATGATATCCACACACCCCTAGTCATCACCCCACTCGTTGCCGCCCCACGACTTTCCCCTTTCCCTCCTGTCTGCCCTGGGAATGGGCGTCCCTAATCTTCTCTTTTTCGTCTGCTCCCACGGGGGAGGCCGACCGGGCCCCCCCTGGGGAAGCAGCTGCGTCTGACGCAGACCCGAGCCTTCAGGAGCACAGGAGCACAGGAGAAGGAGGAGGAGGAGGAGGAGGAGGACGAGGAGGAGAAGGAGTGAGGAGAAGGAGAGGGCGAGGAGGAAGGAAGGAGGAGGAGAAGGAGGAGGAGCAGGAGGAGTAGGAGGAGCAGGAGGAGGAGGAGGAGGAGGAGGAGGAGGAGGAGGAGGAGGGAGGAGCATGGGGGGCGATGGGGCCCTCCTTCTCTCACTTCTGGGGTAAATGGGCCGTCGAGAGAGCGGCGAAAGGAGCCTCCAAGCGCTTCCGCTCCTTCTCGGCCGCAGCCTCCTGCTGCCTGATCTCCTGCGCGCTGGCAGGCCCTGTGATCCCTCCCCCGCCAGGGGAGGGGGGTCCCAGGGGGGTCCCCCCCGGTGGTTCCCAGGGGGGTCTCTGGGGGGGGTCCCTGCGGCTGTGACCCCCCCCCCCTGGCGGAGCAGATCTTCGACGATGTGATGTGTTGAACTGGCACTTGTTCCTCGATCTCGGCCCTCAGGGGGCCGGTTTCGGTCCCTAGGGCCATCAAGAAGGGATCCGCGACGAAAAACCAAGTTTCGGTCCCCAGGGCCATCAAGAAGGGCCCCGGTTTAGGTCCCCAGGGCCACCAAGAAGGGCCCCGGTTTAGGTCCCCAGGGCCACCAAGAAGGGCCACCAAGCAGGGATCACCCTGGGGGAAGCGGTGGGGACCTCTCGGGAGCCGGCGGTCGGGAACCTCTCCGGGGGCTGCCAGAGCCAAGCGAGGCGTCAACCCGGCAGAGGCAGAGAGCTCCTTCGGCGTGCCACCAGGAGGAGCCCCGCCTCTGGGCCGACAGGCGATGCCGCTGCTCGAAACCTCGGGGCTGCTCGGTGGCAGCTCGTGGGAGCCTCCCATGCCATATTGCTGGCTCCTGCGAATCCACGCCAAATCGACGCTAAATCGACGCTAATCGACGCCAAATCGGGCATCGATTCCCAGACGCTACGCTCATGCACTCCACAGGCAGAAGTACAACCGCGCACAAGGCTCTCGCGATTTGCTGCTGAAGCGATGATGACCCCGAGGAGGCGTGTGGAAATCCGCTGGCACCAAAGACTAGGGGAACCAAAAGTGGCATAAACATTAAAACTCGGAGGTCCGCTCGGATTTCTCGGATCGGCGCTGGACCCCCCTCCCTGGCGCGCGGAGCGCGCCAGGGGCGGCGCCGGAGGCGTCGCCAGCGAGGTCCAGCGCGGATCCGAGATCCGAGAAATCCGCGCGGACCTCCGAGTTCCCCTAAAGACGTGGCATCAACAGAAACGTTGGGAGGTTCGTGCGGATGTCTCGGATCGGCGCTGGACCCCCCTCCCCGGCGAGCGGAGCGCGCCAGGGGGCTCCAGTTGAGAACGCTAAATGGGGGGGGCGATAACTGGAGTTAAGTCGGGCCTGTCCCCCTACAGGGGGGTTTTCAACGAAACATATTTTTGGGGGTATTTTATTTTTCGTCGAAAATCCCTCTGTAGGGGGACAGGCCCGACTTAAAACTGGAGGGAGAACGGTGCCCTTTTCGGGCCCTGAAGGGTCCCTTTCAGGAGCCCTAAGAGGGCTTCTTTCTGCAGCCCTCGCTGCCCCCCCCCATGGATCGCCCCAGAACTACGCGCCCCTAATCCGGCGCCGATCCGAAAAATCCGCGCGGACCTGCGAAAGTCCCTGTTGGCCGACCCCCTGCGTGACGAGCCCGTTCTGCGACGAGCTCCTCACTCTTGATGCTCCCCTCTCTGGCCGGCTGCGCAAATCTTGGAGCAAGGCGACGGGTTCGCCACAGAGGGGGTCGATTAGCTGGGAAAAAAGGAAAAACGCCAGAAAGATAAACTGTTGGCGATCCGCGCGCCAAAAGCGTAGGTTTACGGCTTCTTCCCTCCCTTCCGGGGGGACGTAAAGGTAGGGTAGGGGCAGAGGTGGATCTGGGAGGAACATCGCTCTGAGCGGTTCCTGGAAGAAGGACCTGTGCGCATCCAACTGGGTTCGTTCCCTAACCCCACCTTGGGACCCCAACCCCCTCTACGAACCCCCGACCCCTCTGAGACCCCGACCACCCCGAGCCCCTGGACGTCTGGCTACCGTAGCCGGGCTCCGCCCGAGCAGAGCCCGATGCGCAGGACACGGCCTCTCTGAGGTCTCTGAAGCGCAGCTAGCGAGCCCCAGCTGCTGGCCGCAGAAATTGAGTGGGGGATCGACTGCAGAATTGATTTACCTCCACGTTCTCTTTCTTCGAATTCACGAACACCATGAACGATGCGCATAGATCTACGAACAGCTTACGGTGTTGTTTTGCAGGTCTGAGGAAACAGAAGCAATTCTGAGGCAACTCAATTCTGCCGTCGAGTCCTTACTCGAAGGAGACGTGCCCACGGCCAAGACGCTGAGAGAAGGACCGCTCTGGACTCGCCAAGGGCTCGGGTCTTGGGGCCGTTCCGCAGACCCAGGGATCCGTCCCTCGAAATGCTTCCAGCCGCGGCCAAAGAGCCGGCGGCCCACTCCCCGGGACTGGTCGCTCGTCCCAGACCCAGCGTGGACAGCCCCAGGGCCCGAAAACGGGCCTCGCATGCTGCAAAATCTGGAGGAGAAAAACCGTCGACTGACGGAAGATCTAGGTGGGGAAAAAAGGGTGCCGACGCCGCTGCTCCCTGGACTCTTCGGGGATGCGCTCTGACCAGAAATTCGAGGAGAATCCAGCCGTGGCGACGACTGCTGGCGCTCCAGGACGAGCCACGGAATCGGTATAGGTTCCCCCTCTGGAGTCGGGGAACGGATTCAGGGCCCAGGCCAGTCGTGGCGAGAAAGGCCCCGTCGCTCCTGACTCGGCGTTCCCAACATGGTGGCACGCTGGCTGCACGAGGAGGCGACGGTGACGGCGACGGTGCCCGCAGGAGTGTCCACGCGGGGGGGGACTGAGCGGGGCGTGGCCGGAGCGCGCCCGAGAAAACAACTGACCTGGAGCGGCAGGCAAGGGCATCGCAGGCAGCAGGCGCACTCATGATGTACAAGACTATGATCCAGCTCGTTCCACTTTTGACGAACCAACAACACACACACACACACATACCCATAGGGGGGTCGGAGAGGGGTATAGGTGCGTGTTGTCGGATGGGGGTCCCCGCTCGAACGGGAGCGTTTCCCAGGGTCCGACAACCCGCACCCATACCCATAGCGAGTCCTCCTCCCAACGACCGCCCTTATGGGTATGGGTGTGTGTTGTTCGTTCGTCATTGGTGCTCTGGCCACGTCGATCCGCGCATCTGTCCCAGCTGCACGAGGAGGCGTGCGCCAGGCCACGTACACAGAACTTTGACGTCCAGATACCTCGGGTGGCGCTTGTGCCCTTTCCTGGCCTCCCTGGGGGCATCCTGATACGATGTACCGCCTACGCCACCCAGGTGCCTACTGTACACCCACATCGAACCTGGCAGGCCAATCTTGGGCACATGACAGGTGTTTACGCCCGCCTGGCCTGGCAAGGCGGGCAGGTTCGTGCCGTGCCGACTTCGAGCTTGGTTTCTGACAACGCGGGGACCGTTCCACCTTGAAGATCGGCCGATTCCGAAGCGTCGGACTATTCAACATCGACCGATTCTGGATCGCTGGCGGCGTTCAACGTTGAACGCTGGTCGCCACTGGTCGACACGAAGCTAACCTACCGTATATAGCATGGGGGAAGCGGGTCCTGAGGGAAACGGGTCCTGGACCCTGAGGCGTTCTTCCTCCTGAGTCGTTTTCTGACAACCCCGCCCGGGGACCGTGGAGGGCCCCGAATGATGGGCAAGCTTTCCACCACCACCACCACCATAAGTTGGAGGGGGAAGGGGATCCTCCTCCTCCTCCTTCTCCTCCTCCTCCTCCTCCTCCTCCTCCTCCTCCTCCTCCTCCTCCCCGTCCTCCTCCTCCTCCTCCTTCCCCCCTCCAACTCATGGTGGTGGTGGTGGTGGTGGTGGGAAACAGGCCCATCACGGAAAGAAGAAGAAAAACGCCATGAACATAAACTGTTGGTCCTCCGCACAGAGTTTGTGGATCCGCGCCAGACCCCCCTCCCTGGCGCGCCAGGGGCGGCGCCGGAGGCGACGCCGGGGTGGGGGGGCCAGCGCGGATCCAAGAAATCTGCGCGGAGTGTCGTTTTTTCCTCCTAGACCGAGAGCTCGAGAACGGCGAAACAACTCGTGATCCGTTACCCCACGGCGAAGTTCTGGAGGTCGGAGAAGGGTGTGGCATAAAGGTGTATGGTGCCAATCGTGGAGGTGGCGATTCTATCTGCGATAAATAGCATCGCCAGGGTCCCCTTCCCATACAATCAACACCACACCCCCCTTCTACCATACCCCTTTCCTACCTCCAGAGACGTAGGCATCGATCCTGGGTTCAGGGCCGGCCTTGCCAGGATCGGTGCAGGTGTACATAGGGAGGCCCACGGACACACAAATACATAGACACAAATCCCAGGATTCCCCATTGTTTCCTACATCTCCTGGGTTCTCGTCTTCCCCCCCTTCCCATTGTTCACCATACTTTCCTGGGAGTCGACGATGGCTTGTGCCTGTGGGCATTTCCCCCTCCTGAATACAGTTGGCGCCCTCCGATGCGCGGCCAGCCCCGCACGAGCGGCACGCCGCCGAAGGGCGAGGTCCTCCAGGTGCGCGTTGTACCACTCCAGGGCCTTGCTCAGGCGGCGCTTGAAGTCCTGGGGGGGCGGCCGAGCCGAGGGAAAGAAACGGATCTTACGCACTGCGACACAGCGACGTGACGCCGCGGCTCACGGGGGCCGCCAACGCGGCACGCCGCCTTGGAAGCGCGGGCGCTCCCGCGCGACCCGACTCGGGCAGCTTGGGCGCCAACGTCGGTGAGGACGACCACGTCAGCGCCGATGCTGCATTTGAGCTCCCAGGAACTGCACCCGCACTGGCGGGAAGGCTCGGGTGCGTCCAAGAGGGGGGCGTCCAGGAGAGGGGTCGCAAATCATGGCCCGAGGCACGTGCGCGGACGAGGAAGGCCACAGAACGTGCTGAAATGAGAGGTGGCCATGACATCGGGGCTGATATCATGGCCCTGGCCAGGATATCCAGGCCCCCCACTCATTACCCGCCCTATTGGCCGCCCACTCCAAGGCCTTGCCCAGGCGACGCTTCAAATCCTGGGGGCCAGGGCAAAATCAGACCGGAATAACTCGGGGATCTCTGAGATCCGGCGGCTCTGGAGGATCAATCGGACGCCGCGGCCGTTCCAGAGCTCCCCAGAACGCTCTTAGAGCGTTCTCGGGCGCTCTGGAGCGATGTATGCCATTCCTGGACCTGTCTGAGGGGCAGCTGGCGGGAAGGCAAGGGCGACGGGGTCTGGTTACCTGGAAGGCATGGCCCTTCTCAGAGGCCCGCGGGTGCTTCTCAGAGAGTGGCAGAGGCCCATCTGAGAGCTGGGAGCGGGCAGTGCCAGCAAGATGAGCGGCCCTCAGAATGCTAACACCTCCGCCCGGGCCTGTCGCCTCTGGCTGAAAACGAAATCACAGCGAGGCTCCGTGAACCAACATACAAAAAGGTCAATGTTGTGCCAACTCAACAGTAGTTCCCTTGGCCACAACATCAGCCGATCCATCAAAACAAGGCAGTGCAGCATCAAGAGGTTGACGCACGCTGCTGAATATGTGTTGCAAACGCATGATGCTACTACGTTGGGTGTCCCCATTTCAACGTATTCTCTCTCTCTCTCTCTCTCTCTCTTTCTACATTATGGCGCTGCCACTGAATAATACGAATTCAAACCTTGCACACGGCATCACCCAGCTGGCCACACTAATACATCACGGTGGTATGTCGTCGATCTAGTTGCGGTATACTGGCTTCAGGCGATACCAGATATCAACACCCTAAATGGTATCATATGGCACGCGAAAACATATTTTGGCGCTCTCGTCCAACTTGCCACTGCCCCTT